GTTAACCGAACCGGATTAAATGGATGAGAAAAAGACTCTAAACCGCCCGAACCGAATTAAACCGGTCTGGATCCGGTTTGAACCCCTGAACCGTCCGAAAAAAACCAAACCGATTTCGGTACAATTGTAGTGCAACTGTTGCTACAAGGTGTAATATGACATAGACTTAGGCGGTAAGAACGATTTGTGGATGGAGGTACAAACCAAACAGAACGAGGCGTTGAAATAATTTCCGTGAGGTATTATGTGTAGCGCAGATATATAAGAGGGTTTTCAATGAACAGCATAGGAAAGTTAGGTTCATAAACTAAGGTAGAGGATCTATAATAACAATTTGATGTATTCTGTAGTACAGAAATATCCATTTGGTCAGGTTAAAATTAAGAAACTACTTACTGTGGGCAAAGTTTCGGTTCTTGGAATCAAGCAACCTACGAAAATTATGCATCTGAAAGAGGTGGCTTATGGGCTAGCAAGGTAATGTGAATTATTCTTTTCATAAATCTTGCATTCATCATATCTCATCTAGCTTTCTGCAATATTAGGGGTAGGAGAGACTAGGTCTACAACGTAGCTTTATGACCCTCCCCTTAGCCCGAAAAAACCAAAATAATGATACTTCATCAGAAATTAATAGACAATGATCTCAGGTGTGGGCAGATTTTTATGAAATGGAATTAATTCGGCCCAAAACCGAAACCGATCCGAACCGATCCGAATTTTGGTTGGGCCGAATATTCGGATGAAGGGAAAAAAATCTGGATTTGGATGAGAGTTTTGAGAATTCAAAAAATTCGGATTAGATGCGGATTGAGCTTAAAACCGACCCGAACCGAATATGCCCAGCCCTATGAATCATATCAATGATTATAGGGAAAAATGCTTCCAGCCCCCAAAACGAATGAAAACAAGCTTCCCACCCCCAAGACTTTTTCAACGGGTGCTTTGCCCCCAAAAGTAAATTTTTTGTTCTCTGAGCCCCCAAACACAAAGCCCAATGAATTTCACACAGGGAAAGACTATAATACCCATTCTCTCTCTCTCTAACCCTGCAATCCCTCTGCTCTCCCTCCTCCCTCCCCCACCTCTCCACCCGCCGCCGCCGCCCTCCTCCTGCCATCCTCACCTTCTCCGCCACCGTCGCTCCGGCCATCCACAGCATCCTTAAGATCCAAAACGCGGAGAAAACCCCGGCGCGGTTCGAGGAGTACAAAGAGATCGTCCGCTCGAGGGCCGAACGAAACTCCGGCGACGAGCGCTGCATAGCCGACGGGAACAAGCGACTGAGGTTTTACTGCTTCATGATTCTCTGCGAGCTGGGTTTCATGGGAGCGTGGGAGCGGGCGGGAGGACCTGTTCATGGGAGCGTGGGAGCGTGGGAGAACCTGTTCATGGGAGCGTGGGAGCGTGCGGGAGGACTCGCCCAACCCAAGAACAATAATAAGAAGAAGAAGGACAAGATTGATAGTAATTACAACCATGCCCCCTAACCTTGGTTGCTCCTGCTTTGGATGCTACAAGAGCTTCTGGGCTCGTTGGGATGCCTCACCCAACCGCCATGTCATCCACCTCATCCTCGATGCCTTTGAAGAGACCCTTGAATCGAAGGAGGCCAACAGCAAGTAGAAGAGGGGGTTGAAGAGTAAAAAGATTGATTTTGATGAGGTTTTGGCGAAAGAGATGAGCGCCCATGAGGAGAAAGTTGATGATGATGGCCATGATGATGGGTGCGGGCATGTTACTAATTACCAACGCTAAAACTATTACCACCAAAAAACTTTAAAATAACCCAAATAAAAATATACCGGTTGCTTGTTAAAATTACTCCCCCATTAGAATGTCCTACATTGGTTGTTAAGGTTATATTTTGGTTGTTAATGTTACGCGTTTGTTGTTAAGGTTACGTATTGGTTGTTAAGGTTATACAGGTTGCTTGTTAAGGTTACGGGTTGGTTGTTAAGAATATGCGTTGGTTGTTAAGGTTACAGGCTTGTTAAGGTTACGGATTGGTGTTAACGTTATACGGGTTGATTGTTAAGGTTACGAGTTTTTGCTTGTTTAACAACCAACTCGTAACCTTAACAACCAACCCGTAATCTTAACATCCAACCCGTAACCTTAACAACAAACATGTAACCTTAACAACAAATGCGTAACTTTAACAAGCAACCCGTAACCTTAACAAACAACATGTATAACCTTAACAACCAACCCGTAACATTAACAACAAACATGTAACCTTCATATTAACGGATCTTGAGGATCTCTCTGTCGGATTGTTAGGCTCTGAAAAACACGCTAATTGAAGAAAAATGTAAACTTGGACCTAACAAACAAGGTGAAATCTCGACATCACAATAACAGCAGAACAAGGACCAGTGAAGCAAACAAAATGCACCAAAACATCAAATCCAAGCTCGACGGGGGAAAAACGTGTTGATTCCGACAGAGAGATCTTGAGTGTTCTGTATATTTAGAGTAACTTTTAGACGATATAGGAAGTCTAGATGCACTATTTTTATGCATGTTGGCCCGCCCATCCATGTTAACGTCTTTAATAGGTAACCAAAATAAATTTATATATTTTTCAAGAACACTCGCTTTTTTTAATAACTCTTAATATGTCAACATCTTTT